CCATATTTGTTTTTGTTTTTCTTTCTGAAAATGTTTTCCCGAAATCATCTTTTTCTTTCATAACATCTGACTGATCAAGTATTGATTTTATGTGCAAGTTAGTTATTTTCTTAGAGGCAGTATGCTGTTCCTTAGCCTTAGTTATTAAGTTACAAATTCCAAGTCCTCCTTCCGATGGATTTAGCGCCAAAAAATCCCTATTCTCTTTGATTATAGAACAATCAGTTCCAAACAATACAGGTAATAATTTTTCTGATAAAATTTTTTCCACTGGTGTTACAAAATTTCCAAAAGCTTCAATTGTGCGTAAGAAGTAAGTGAATTTAGATCTGTACCCTTTAATAAAAGCTGAATAAGCAGCTTGTGGTTGCGTGGTGGCGATTTCGAAGAGATTGTTAAGTTCTTTAGACCATTTACTAAATCCTCGCAATACACTTTTTTGTATGCTTCCGAACTAAGTGTAGCTCCTAAGTGCCTTTTTCCCTGAGTAGTTATATTTATGGAGTTGCCAAATATAAGTTTAGCTTCTTCAGCTTGGTTATCAGATTTTACTATTAGTCATCATTTTTACTGATTTACATAATAACCATACAAACCACAGACATCCTCTAAGCATTTATACCACTTTTTTAAAGACTATAATTTTCCTGCAGCGGTAGCATCATCGGCTAACCATACTTGTTTTACATCAGGAATTACTAGTTTCAATGTATTTATGATTGTCACAGTGCTAAGTGAGTACCATGGCATGGCGAGGGGATCGCCCTGCGTTGTGCCTTCTTTTGAAAAAATAGTTTCTCCACCGTAGATGAATAACTTTGCCGGTTTACGGTAAGTGTTGACTAAATACATAGCTAAGATTGGGCAAGTTATCCGTTTATTATGTAGTGCAACAGAACGGTTTAGGCAGTTAAACGCGTTCCTAGCATCGATTAACAAAACACCATTTGTATCTTCCTGATGAAATATCTTTTGCATAGCATGTATTGCAGCTTCTGCTCCTGCACCGTGTCCTGCACAAGTTTGTTGTGGTCCAGCTGCCTCTTTAATTTCTTTTTGACAATGGTGGCTAATGGTTTTACCTACAATCCTACGTAACACGTCCCCAATTCCTATGGGGCGAATCCCGGGATTTTTGTCTAAGGGAATCAGTCGACATGCAATGTAGGGTTGAACTATATCCGCTTGGTAGGATTTTGTTGCAATATTTTTTGTAAATGTTGCTATTTCTTTTCGTAGAGTCTTACAAGAGGGTCCAAAACATTTTGAGAATAGGACTCGACTGTAAAAATCTGCATCCATTCCAGAAGGACCTGCAAATCCTTTAGTCTGTAAAGCTGAGTTAAATATACTTATCTCATCAATTGAATCGAATAAACATTCTGGAGTGTTCTGTAACGGGCTGTATAGTAAACAATTATCTTGTACAGGAGTTTCGTCTGGGTGTTTACTTTTCAGTTCTTTTAATACACTTTCCGAGCATTGCAAGATACCAGATGACTCTCTATCTTAAAACCTTCAGTGCGGCAGCAACTTTACCTTCCATCATTAGTTTTTCGAATATCCTTGAGATATTTTCAAATGTCCTTTTCTTTTTTGAGGTGTTAATTTTGCTCTAAATATATCTAATTTCCCGCATAAATTCACTAAAGTTCCCGTTTCTCCATAATGTAATTCGTCTTACTAAACATTCTGCATGTTCTTTGGCTTTGGACCGTATTGAGGGCTTCTGTAACATTAGGGAAGAGACTATCACGAAACATTTCATGGCTATTCCATTCAATTTGGTTCGATTATTAAACTGTTTTGGTCAAAAGGTCAGTTCTTCTATAAACATTTTACCACCTTTTCCTGATAACACTTTAAAAAGGTTTTTATGGTAAAATACTATTTCATCGTATATTGTGTTGACATGGTTGAGAAGGAAGCTAAACGGCATATGACCCCATAGATAGTCGTTTGGATCTATAATAGATTCACAAATATTTATTTTGGGTAAGAAGGTGTGTTTCGTAACTCAGGAATTCATTCTTTTAATAATCTCATTTTCACAGATGAAGATTTTATAGCAGCTGCAGTGACAAATCAAGAACAAAACACTTCTAACATCACACTCAATGATTCAAAGGAAAAAGTAACAAACGACCAGACCAATCTAACCAGAACACATTCTATTTTAAAACAATGCTATAGTCTTGTCACTAAAACGTTTGCCTAACTGCTTGATGAGTCTGTATCTCTTAATGAAACATCAAGAAAACGAAGATCTGTTCAACATGCTACTATAGTTACCAGTTCACCATATAGATCTGTACTTGAAAATTCTAAAACAAAAAAAAAGTTGAATACAAAAACCTCAGCAAAGTTAAGACATACACACAGAAAAAGGAAAATCAATTTAAATGTTGCCAGTGAGGTTCCAAGTAAAATTAATAAACCACAAGATGAAATGCTAGAGAATATAGTAAGTTGCCTTTACACACATTAAATTTATAAACATATACTTGTACTTTTTAAACAGTTTTTTCAAAGATAATACTTTATTTTTTCTGAAGAAAAATACTTTTTAAATATTGTTTATAATACATATTAAATAAAACAATTGAAAAGTTTATATATAATGTTATTTTAATTAATATCTTTAAATTGCTATTAAAGAAATTTTAAGTATTTTAATTTATGACCTAGCTTTTATTTTAGGATATTTCAACTAATGAAGACAAATCAAAAAATGAAAATGAAAATAGCAGGATTTCACATATCAAACATTTTGTATGATATGTGAAATTTTGCATAATGAGTCTGAAGTGCCATGGAACCAATGTAGTGATTGCAAGAGTTAGTACTGTGAGTTGTGTACTGGAAAAAAAAACTAAAATCTGTTGTTTTTTTTGTAGTAATTGTGTATAAAATGTTACTTTTAACAGTTTTATGTTTAGAAAGTTATGTTGTGTCATGTTATTAAACAAATAATTGTTATAAAACATTCCTAATATGATTAACATTTTGTGTTATAGAAAAAGATGTTAGAAAAAGTTTTTTTTAAATTTCTTATACTCCACTTAAATACTCGACTACATAGATGCCTTATTGCATTGTTTCGGCTCATTTTTTTTGAGTATTTGATATTTTTTATCAAATATCTTAAAGTGCTCATATTACCCAGTGGTCTGGATAATATGAGCACTTTTGCTTTCTCTTTAAAGTTTTTCTAAAATAATATTTCACGTGCCGAAAAATCAAATTTTTTTTTTTTTTTTTTTTTAAGTTGATTAAGGTGCCCCAAGAAGTCCTTACGGTCTTATCACAGAGCACCGGGGAAGAGCATTTAATAGGAAGTTCACGCCTCCTTCCCAACCGATGTCGAAAAACTGATCTAATTTTAGAGCGCCACGGCTGCTCTAAAATTAGATCATGAGTAGTGATCACTAAATATTGTTTATACGCTAAAATATTGGTCACAGCATAGTTATTTTTATAAATATTTCTATTTTCGCTTAAGGTGCTCATAATACCCTAATCTACTCTTGATGATACATAGGTCTATTCTAAAACCCAAAATCCTGTTCCGGCATAAACATAAACCTGAGCTGTCGGGATTTTCTGCTATTTTAAACATAAAATAGCATTTAATAAAAAGAGAAGCTTTATAATAATCTTTCATATGAGAGAAAAAAAAGAAAGCAAGTAAATAAAATTAAAAAAAAAAAGCCAAACAAACCAATTGCAGTAAGTTTTTTTTTTTATTATTATTTTTTCAAGTATTTTATTTTTTGAAGTATTTTTTATTTTTTGAAAAAGTATTTTTTTTTTAGATTGCAGAACCTTATAAAGCGGAGGATGATTTAGAAAGTCCGAGATCGCCTTAGTCACACCGAATCATCCACCTCTTGAAGACAATAATGAAGATTTGAGACCAGGAAGCGCTCCTCGCGCAGTTTTCCGAGAATTAAATATCTATAATTATTTATTTTATATTTATTTGATTTTTTTAATTATATATTTAGTTATTTTATATTATAAAATAAAACATTAATTTTTTCAGTTCCCACCATTAAGAGTATGTGTGAAGGTTGTTGCCTTTGCTACTATCCATTATGTCCGACCTCTTTCTAGTTGACTAGAAGGAAGTCTAGTCGACAGGCGGACTAGTCCGCAACGATTCATGCAGCGACCATGCTGCATGAATTGTTGCGGACTAGAAGGAGACTGCAGAGGCTTCTGCCTTTGTATATTTGAAAAAATACAACACCTCAAAGACCGAATGCAAGCATTGGTTGAGAGAGCACAGAGAGTTACACTCACTCAACCAATGTTGTATAAGGATTAATTTTTTATAAATTTACATAGTATTTTTTAAATTTTTTCTAATTGTAAATAGTATTTTTTAATAAAATAAAAAAAAAAAAGTATATTTGCTTTTTATTTAAAAAAAAAAATTATTAAAAAAAAAATGAATTTGACGAGAGCAGTGGGTTCAACAAAAGAGCGAGCAGACGAATATGTTGGCTATAATATATACTAGCACACTCGACCTTATTATAACAAACGAGTCAGACTATGTAATAAACAAACAAGGCGATTCTCTTGGTGACACTCCAATGGGCCAAGCACACTGCTTCATCGAAGGCCAATTTGCTGTTGCATGCCTCAACAACTTGCCTACTTTGCCGCTAAAACCTCGACTCATTTGGAGTCGAGCAAACTACGCAGCAATATCAGCACATATTTCAGCTGTTGACCGGGAAACAGTATTCACTGGACTAAATGCAAACGAAGATTATCAACTTCTAGCAAACGTTTACAATGAAGCCACTAACCTACACATTGCGTCAACTACCACTCCCTTTACAGGAAAACAGTAGCAATGGGTAACACCAGAACTTATTGAGGCGGTCAAAGCTAAACGCACCTCTTGGGCCAAGTACATTAATGCAGGTCGAGACACGCACAAATTTCTCAAAATATCACATCGCACTGCCTGCAATAAAGTTAAAATAATGGTCAAAGCTGGTAGGCAGAAGTACAAAGAGCTACTCGTCAGGGATTCCGAAAGCAACTCTAAACGCTTACATGCATATATAAGAAGCAAGCAGAGCGTCAGTAACAACATTACATTGCTTGAAACAGTCAATAGCAACATCAAAACCGATACCGGTGATATATCCGCATCGTTAAATAACTATTTTCAATCATTCTTTGCTTTAGAGCCCGAAGGTTCAATGCCAAGCTTTAAAAGTCGCACAGAAGCAGTTTGTGTCATCGATCCAGCAATTTTCTCTATCGACATTGTACAAAAATGTCTAAACAGCCTTGATGAAAGAAAATCAACCGGCTACGATGGCTTACATCCACGGGTCCTCAGTAAATGTTCAACTACCTTTGCCAAGCCTCTTTCACTTATTTATAAACGCTCGTTTGCAACTGGTGTAGTTCCTGACTTGAAGAAAAAACTGAATGTAACACCTATTTTCAAGAAAGGGAGCAGGCTAAAAGCATCTAACTACCGGCTAGTCTCCCTCACTTCCATACCTTGCAAAATTATGGAAAGTATTTTACAAAAAAGAATAATGGAACACTGCGTTGCTAATGGACTAATTTCTCCAAACCAGCATGGCTTTGCTCATTGTAAGGGATGCGTATTAAACCTTTTAGAAACTCGGGACATCTTGACTGAAGCAACTCACTGCAGACACGCAGTAGACGTCATTTACACAGACTTTGCAAAGGCGTTCGACAAAGTACCACATAAACGCCTCCCTCATAAGCTGAAAGCTTAAGGTATTCAAGGCGCTCTCGTTGATTGGATTGCAACTTGGCTAAACAATCAACGTCAACGAGTGGTTATAAACAGCATTACTTCTGAATGGAAAGCAGTCACTATTGGAGTGGCTCAAGGCTCGGTCTTGGGCCCATTGCTATTTGTAAACTTTGTAAATGACCTGCCGGACAGAATTACTCATCATATGAAACTGTTTGCCGACGAAAGCAAAATAATAGGGTAATTAAAAAGGAGTCGGACAACATCACTATCCAAGATGACGTTGACAGAGCAGTCGAATAATCACACATTTGGCTCTTGCATTTTAATGTTGAGAAATGCAAAGTAATGCATGTTGGGCGCGGATGTAATAAGTCGACGTACTCAATGTCAAACGTCGACGGCACCCGTCGTCCTCTCAAAAAAACCGCAGTTGAAAGAGACCTTGGTGTGATGGTCTCAAATGATCTTAAAGTCAGACAGCAAATAGAGTCAGCTGCATCAGTAGCAAATAGAATGCTAGGGCGACTCAAAACGCAGTTTTTATTTATGGCGTACTCTGTATCTCACTTACATTCGCCCCCATCTTGAGTTTGCTGTACAAGCCTGGTCATCGCATTTAAAATCAGACATTACCATTCTCGAGCAAGTCCAACAACGAGCAACAAAAACAATACCGACTATTAAACACCTGTCCAATAAAGATCGACTCCAACGGCTCGGTTTAACAACTCTTGAAGAACGCCACAAAAGAGCAGATCTTATCAAGCAATTCAAAATCACTCGTAAACTCGAGCTTGTCAGTTTTGTCGTCCCACAAAAATTTTCAAAAAGTAAAGATAAGTATATTCTAAGAGGCCATAACCATAAACTAGAACGTAAGATGGTAAAAAACTGTGAGGAGCGATATAACTTTTTTTCAAATAAAATCGTCGCCCCATGGAATGCGATTTCGCAAGATGCAGTGAACGCTCAATCCATCAACGCTTTCAAAAACAACATAAGAAAGTAACTTCATAGATACAACTGCTGCTTTGTCTGTAGCGTCTGTATTTCCATGTTCGTCAGCATAGAGGGGCCTGGTGTAGCACCTCTTCATCAAATTATAAATGAATTATTGTATTTGCATTTGATCACTGAAACAAATAATAATAATAATATATGGCTATATTAGGTAAAAATCGCGAAAAATTAAAAAAGCACATGGAAAAAAAGTGTTATAATAGTAGTTACTTATTGGATTTAATAACAAAAAATTACAAAGGATTAGAAGTAGAAAATATAAAAAAAGAGTATTCATACAATACAGAGGAAGAAAAAGATGTTATTAAACACAATATCATTTTTTTCAAGAAATTTATTGTATATTAGGCAAATTTGTATATAGATATGTTGAAGTTGCAATTACTTTGCATTATCTTGTAGAAGCGCTCATTTGGGAAGCGTCGCAGGTTTTACAGACATTATATTGTTATCTTATAGTAGTTAAATATTTTGAACAAAAACAATTTGTTATCGTTAGACTCAATAAAGAATTGATAAAGAAATTAAGGTATCTTGTTTTTATTGTTGGATCGCCGCTTTATTTTAATAAAAATAAAAGAGATTGTTATGAAAAAATAAAAGATGTTTTATATTGTAAATAATTATTTATTATAGAAAAAAAATTAAAAATACAAAATATTAATGTTTTTTTTTTGATATTTGCCTTGCGTCGGTTGACATGCTTCTTCGTAAGTTGGAGGAGCATAGAGAAGAGTAAAGGAAGGAATAGAAGGTATATATAAGTTTCCAGTTTCCAGCAGGCTTTTAAAAAAACATTTGTTTTTTTTGTCATAGTGTAAACTTTTGTATTTACTAAACAAGTTATCTCTTCCGATGTGCGGTAGAAAATTTATCAAATAACATAACTTGCTTTCCATGGTTGAATATTCGTAATCTTGAATTTCAAGTGAGTAGATGCAAATATAATTGATAAGATCTAATCCGCTATTGATTTTTTCTGCATTACCACTTCGTATTTCTAAACAAAGTTTTAATGCTCGTATGTTGTTTGACGTAGGTTCCTGAGTTAACATGATCAAGTGTTCCATTTTTTATTATTTTTTATAACTAAAAAAAAGTTTTTACATTTTAGTGCAATAAAAAAAGTGCAATAAATTCACTATCTTTAAAGCTTCCGCTATCTTTAATTATATATTTCTTCTGTTTGACTTTTTTTTCTTCTTCAACAGAGTCTTTTTTTTTTTCAATTTTCTTTCAAGACGTTTCATTACTTTTTGCGACCATCAGGATCTTTGTTTTCTTTATTCAATACTTTTTTAAACTAAAAATTTTTTTTTTCTATTTTACAAAATATTGTATTCTTACCATTAACTTTTTCGTGATTTAAATTAAATTTTTCAAATCTTTTAAAATAATTCATAAAATTCTCTAAACGCTTTAACAATATCACTAAACATTTGTTACGAATATCAAATTTCCATACAATAAACGGATCTAAATTACATTTTTTCTCCTTATAACCAGGAGTATCCAAAGCTATAATATAAAAATATTTTTACGAATGCATGTTAATAAAAAAAATAAATTAATACAGTTCTTTATTTCTAAACTCTTTAAGAACAACATGGTCCAAATTGTTCATTAAATCTTCTATCGATTTATATTTTCTTTTTTCAACATCATCTAAAACATTTTTACATTTTTTTTTTAATTTCTTGAATGTTCATTTTTTTTTTTTATTGTTATTCTTCTTTTTTACATCGTTCTTCATCTTCGTTGTATTGTTCAATACTTTGACAAATAAACCAACAACAAATAAAACCACTTATTAAACAACCACCACATAAACATGTCAAAAAAAAGAAATTTTAAAGTGTTTTTCATTTCATTAATAAAACAAACAGATGCAGCATATATATATCCATAATTGATAAAAATGTTTATAATCAAAAAGTATAATTAAATGACATTAACTTTTTTTTTTTTTTTCGATTTCGACATTAACCTTTCGACTTTTGGTAATTGCAAAATCAACTATAACATCTTCATTTGTCATCTCCCGCATCACTTCATTTTCAATTGATAGCAGTGCCTAATACTGTTGAATACGGAAATTATCACTGGCACTAACATTTAAACTTGGATTACTTGTATCCATAACTTTGTCATCAAATCGCTTCCGTTTTCGCTTGCATTGTGTAGCTTCTTTGTAATCAGATTCTGTGCCTGGCCTTTGAATGTTTCAAACTTACTACGTGTATCATGAAAATACTGTATGAGACCATCGTACAATTTAATGATGGTGCACAGCTCAATACCCGGTTCCTGTAAAGCTTTATTGATAATATTAATCTTTTGAAGTAAATCTTTCCAAATTACACACATTAACGCAGTTTCAAAGTAGTCTAAATGTTTAACCAGTGATCTGGCTTCAAGAACAGCTGGTGGTGGTTGTTGTTTGCTGTTAGAACTTTTGTATTTACTAAACAAGTTATCTCTTCCGATGTGCGGTAGAAAATTTATCAAATAACATAACTTGCTTTCCATGGTTGAATATTCGTAATCTTGAATTTCAAGTGAGTAGATGCAAATATAATTGATAAGATCTAATCCGCTATTGATTTTTTCTGCATTACCACTTCGTATTTCTAAACAAAGTTTTAATGCTCGTATGTTGTTTGACGTAGGTTCCTGAGTTAACATGATCAAGTGTTCCATTTTTTATTATTTTTTATAACTAAAAAAAAGTTTTTACATTTTAGTGCAATAAAAAAAGTGCAATAAATTCACTATCTTTAAAGCTTCCGCTATCTTTAATTATATATTTCTTCTGTTTGACTTTTTTTTCTTCTTCAACAGAGTCTTTTTTATTTTCAATTTTCTTTCAAGACGTTTCATTACTTTTTGCGACCATCAGGATCTTTGTTTTCTTTATTCAATACTTTTTTAAACTAAAAATTTTTTTTTTCTATTTTACAAAATATTGTATTCTTACCATTAACTTTTTCGTGATTTAAATTAAATTTTTCAAATCCTTTAAAATAATTCATAAAATTCTCTAAACGCTTTAACAATATCACTAAACATTTGTTACGAATATCAAATTTCCATACAATAAACGGATCTAAATTACATTTTTTCTCCTTATAACCAGGAGTATCCAAAGCTATAATATAAAAATATTTTTACGAATACATGTTAATAAAAAAAATAAATTAATACAATTCTTTATTTCTTAACTCTTTAAGAACAACATGGTCCAAATTGTTCATTAAATCTTCTATCGATTTATATTTTCTTTTTTCAACATCATCTAAAACATTTTTACATCTTTTTTTTAATTTCTTGAATGTTCATTTTTTTTTTTTTATTGTTCTTCTTCTTTTTTACATCGTTCTTCATCTTCGTTGTACTGTTCAATACTTTGACAAATAAACCAACAACAAATAAAACCACTTATTAAACAACCACCACATAAACATGTCAAAAAAAAGAAATTTTAAAGTGTTTTTCATTTCATTAATAAAACAAACAGATGCAGCATATATATATCCATAATTGATAAAAATGTTTATAATCAAAAAGTATAATTAAATGACATTAACTTTTTTTTTTTTTTTTTCGATTTCGACATTAACCTTTCGACTTTTGGTAATTGCAAAATCAACTATAACATCTTCAATTGTCATCTCCCGCATCACTTCATTTTCAATTGATAGCAGTGCCTAATACTGTTGAATACGGAAATTATCACTGGCACTAACATTTAAACTTGGATTACTTGTATCCATAACTTTGTCATCAAATCGCTTCCGTTTTCGCTTGCATTGTGTAGCTTCTTTGTAATCAGATTCTGTGCCTGGCCTTTGAATGTTTCAAACTTACTACGTGTATCATGAAAATACTGTATGAGACCATCGTACAATTTAATGATGGTACACAGCTCAATACCCGGTTCCTGTAAAGCTTTATTGATAATATTAATCTTTTGAAGTAAATCTTTCCAAATTACAC